TTAAGCAGAGAACAAAAACATTTATTCATCCTATTAATGTCAGGGAGTGAGGGATTGAAGTAATGGTTTTCATGCTCCAGTCTGCAGCAGCTTGTTGATGCTGCTCTCCTACAAATCACTGCCAGGGAATTAACTCTTAAGCCGCTCTTGCCAAACTCACTGCAACAAACGTCTGGCTCTGCAAGACAGGGCCGAGATTGGGGCCCCGGCACTCAGATTTACACCGTCCCCTAAGACGATGTTTGCTGTCTAGCTTAAAACTCTTGAAAAGTATTGATTAAAATCGAAGGGGAGTAGCACTGAGGGGCACTAGTATCCCTTTAGATAGTAATGGTGCAAACAGCACTTACACAGCAGGACATTGAATCTTCATGTAGCATGATCTTTAAATATAGAACTGCTCAAGCATTGATAGGATCTGCGTTATTAACTTTTTTAATAAAATCGTTTTGGAATATGTTGTTTCTTAAAAAGCACTTCAAAATAAGGATTCCAGTCTTGAAGTAAGTCCTCAGTAACTGCTGTGGCGCTGTGCTTTAATTTGCTCACAGCACAATCTGCACCACATCCAGGCGGTGTCATTTCAAATTCTGGAGACTTTCCTTGGTTGAATGAATTTCACCGATTGTTGAGGGAGGCGAAACTAATCTAGACTAATTTTGCTGTCGCTCAGTGTTGGAAACATCCACCTGGGTTTCCTTGTAATGTTGACCTCATGCAGTATTTCTTAAATCCTGACAGACATTTTCTTAGAATCTTTTTTATGCTACTAATTGTGGTAGTCAAAAATAGCCCGTTGATGTATTTAGGTTCCATATTTACCTCTCTCTACAGTATATAGTGGTTTATATTTTGAATGGAGGGGTTCGCCATTAAGATTACCCAGCCACGTTTAATGCAGCGTTAATGATGACATGTTTTATTGCTATCAGGCCTGTTGTTTGTTAACTCCCCTGCAGTCTTATCAGAGGCGTTTTAAGTTATTGCTAATGCAAATCAAACATTTCCTAGTGCCATGAGCCCAATTTAAAAACAACTAACTGGCAAAACCCACTGTGGCATGTACAGTATGTGAAGCAGACACAGAACATGCGTTGAATCGTAGTAGGCACTGACCTGACTAAGATAGTCTCCACAAAACAAGATGTTATTTTTAAAGGTACAACGTCCCTTTGTAGGGGATCAGCTTAAAATACAGATTCAACTGAATATTTAGATATCTTAGGGTTTTTTTCCCCCTAAAAACAATTACCTCCTGATTGTCTTTGCTCAGCTGTGAATAATTCATTTGTTGGCTGTTGCTGGATTCATCTGCAAGAAGAGTGTGTGTTACAACATTTTAAAGCGAAATATGGACATACTGAGACAGGAGAATAAAAGCAGTCTTTAAAGGGGACCTCTCATGCAAAATGCACTTTGTGATGTCTTTTATACATACATATGTGTCCCCGGTGCGTCGGGGAACTCACGCAGCATCAGAAAATAAAACTCTCTCTCTTTTCCTCCGTACCCACATCTTTTAAAAACGGGTGTACAACGAGCGGATACAGATTCCATCTGAACTGACGCCGGCGGACCGCCAGAAAGTTGCTATCAGAAACAATGCCTGACGTGTTTTGGACGTAATCTCGTCTTTGTTTACATTAGCAAGCCTTGCTAACAATCAGAGCTAACCTGTACTGGAGAGCATGTGTGTTTTAAAAAAGCAGGAAATAAAAAAAGAACTCACCTTGTGATAAACCTGCAAGAGAAAAAGCATTTGAGCTCCATTCGGTTTCAGAAATAATCTTTGACGTGGTTTAAACAGGATGGCGTTTTATCACAACCGAATTGAACTCTTAATTCTGATCAGGCATTAGCTCCGCCTCCTCTTCTTTCTTTTTTTTCAAGCTAAGGACCCAAGATCCGCGTTTCTCTAACAGGGCTTCAAAAGAGGGTAAGCAGTATGAGGCATGGCTACAATGGGTGATCTGTTTGGTATTTTGAAAAAAAAACTTCACAGACATGTTTTATATAGGTATGGCCCTACAATATATGTTTCAAATATAGCATGATAGGTCCACTTTAAGATAACTTATTTTTGTACCTTTTGATCACTTCTAATCAAGTTATTGGGCTGATTTCATTTCACTCAATTCAAACTTTGACACGGTCAGCTCTACCTTGCTGAAAGACAAAAGCTTAATTACTTGTTCCATTTTCCATTGTGAGGAAGCATATCCACTTTAAAAGAGCTGAAGTAAAAATACATTCAAGTACTATTGAGTTATTGTTTCTGTAAGTGTTACCACCTGCTCAGGAACATCAGCGTTGTGTAAAGATGTTCCACGCTGGCTGAACAACAAATCCTCCCCTCACTTGAACCCATATTGCTGATTTACTTTTAATGAGAATGTGTCCTTCTTTTTCATCTTACAACAAATGGAAAAGGGAACAAAGCTCATTATACTTCATAAGCATGACATTTCAGAAAACTGTGACATTAAGAAATCAATTTCTACGGTACAGTAGTGATTTCCACTATGCAAAACAAGCTTTGGTGCCCTGAGATGAAAACATCTTTAGATGATCGCAGCACTTCCACCAAAACAGTAAATATGCATTACAAAAACATCAAAGAGCTAACCCGACAATTGCTTTCATCTGGTCAAGGGGTCCTCTGCTGCGGCTCATGTAAAAGTGGAACACTTCACCCGGAGACGGCAATATGAAATGCACAGATGGAAAGGTTCACTGAAGGAAAATGTCAACCTTGTGTCAGTGTTTGTAGTCGAGATGCTTTTCTGATGGATGTTTGACCTTTACTATCAGTGATGGAAGATTCCTGTGAAGCTTTCATTTGCATCCTTAACATTAGTAAACATTATTCTTACTGGTGGCACGAAGAATTAGGGTTTTGTGTATGGAGATTTGAATGCATCCTCAAAGAAGGACATCATATTTACTCAGCAGCTGTTTTGTACTCTACAGCAAGAGATTACTTTGTATTTCTTTCACCCCAGCACATGACCTGATACTGACTCAGGGGTAGAGCTGCAGTTTCCAAGTTTGACACACTTTTTTCATTATTTCAGGTGGTCTATAATTGAGTGTATTTTAGTGTGAGACTAAAAAAAAGTACCCGCAATTTGTGATGCAATGCATGCACAGTGGCAGGTGTTGCCAATGCAGCCATTAAGCTATTCTTTCACCTTTGGTTCACGTGGCAGAGGCTATTAACGTGCACAAATAGACGTTTCAGAGTTGTGTGTGAATCCCTAGCTGGCCTTTGCCTTTGCTTTGAGAGCCAAATTCTCTTTTAATAGCCATCCCAGTAAATCCCCAAATATATTCACACCAACAGGGGCTTTTGTGTGACCTGCTTAACTTGGTCGTGTTTGGACCGGTTTATTGCCACGTCATTTCAAAATGACCTTGCTTTCTTAAGAATATTAATTGAACGTTCTTTCAATCTTTATTGTGTCATTGCATAACATATGAGCTACTGTACATGGAATTTGTAGATGTTGTAATTGATGAATTATCTTCCCCTCTGGATATTACTAAACTACTTAAATACCAAAACTAACATTTCTAAACCTATCTGAACAAGTTCTACACACTTAATCCAACAGTGAAGGGTCAGATTGTAACATTAAATAGCACAAAACCATTCACACTATCAAGCTAAGGTACTTTCAGGGGCACAAAATGCTACAGAAGAATTATTGCAGTCTGGGTAATGGGAACTGCAAATGACTGTTTTGTTTCTCCACTGAGATATCGACTCCAGGACGGAGAATCAATTAAATGAAAACAATACATATCATTGTAGGAACTCTTTGAACAAATACCACTGTCAAAAGATGGCACCAGCGAGATCTATTGTACACCCGAAGGTGAATATTGTGTATTTCTGAGACTTTTATAACTTAATTCTATTCCCAACTCGTATTGGGCTTCTTGTTTATGGAAAGATCTATCTGCGGAGATTCATTGCTTGAATGCTTTGTTTTGCTTTACACTCTGCTCTAGGAGGGAGTATGGGGCTCCTAATGGCAGCAACTGCTTTTCTTCTTTGTGCATTTGTCCTTGAGGGATTTTTAACTTCACAACCGAAAAACACACAGGCGCTTCTTCTTCCTCGGGGCAAAGAACGTACAGGTAACAGCCTTATCGAACGGAAGCCAGCATGTACACCTTCAAGATGAGCCCATTGCGGCGGGTTTGATCATTCAGAGAGGAAAAAAAGAAGTGTGAGAATATAAAACTCCCACTTTTTTTTTCTCAGCAGCATTGTGAAGGGTATTAAGGGGGAGAATTAGAAATCGGGTACAGTAAGAGGAAGGACGGTGGGGTTAGATTTGTCCACCATCAGGTGTGCCCTGAGACAGGAATGATGTGTGTAAGAAGATATATGTTGGCCAGGCAGGTAGAAGTACTTGCTTCTTGTCTTGTAGAGGCATTAATCATCGCAGTGGCCAAGCTTAACCGCCAAGGTCAGCAGTCCTCGCATATGTGGGAGGCGCTCTCTTCAGCTGCCACCACAATACACTGCTGCAGGGAGGCTAACAGAGGAGGGAGGCAGGAGAGGGTGAGGATCAGGGTGTTGAATTGACAAGGTGAAAGGAGGAGGAGGAGGAAAGAATGGGGAGGAGAACAAGGTCGGATTAGTGGGGACCCCGGGGGGGCGTGGTCAGCAAAGAGTGCCACTTGAGGTGATAGTGAAGGAGATTGCTAAGCAAAGGTAGGTGGACATTTTGGGATAATGGATTAAAGTGGGCAGCCCAGCTGGGGAGGGGAGCAAAATAACAGCGTGTGATGCACTTGTGCTGTGGGTGGAACTGCACCAATCAGAGGGAGGAAGGCTGGGAGGGACTGTGTGAACGAGGTCTGTTCACAATGCTTTTAATCACACCTCTCGAGTAGGAGTTTGGTATTATTAGAATAGGACAGAGGTGAGAAGGACTGCCCATTCAGAGAGAATCGTGACTGCTTGTTGCTTTGTAGCTTTGTGAAAGATGCCGGATGATAAAGGTACTGCTAATGTGGCAGAATTCAGAGCCAGACATCCAGTGTGGTACGAAAACAAACTATCCACAGAAGCACCATAGTAAGAACATAGGTAGGCAAACATCCAAATGAGGTTATATTACACATTAAGATAGCTGCATATTTCCTTTGAGAGAGTCTTTTATAGGGCTATATGTGTTTTTGAATGTGTCATAACCTCAAGGAGGTCCATCAAACGTGTGTAAGGGCAAATCCTCTCAAGCGCCAAGAAGAAAAACACAATCATTTTCTCTGCGGTGGGAAACAGAGGTGCAATATATCCTTGCAAACGGTGGTGAACTGAGCCGTGGCTGCTGTCCAAACTTAGTCCAACTTCATCTCCTACACTATTTAGGAGCCTTGATTGTTATACAATTGATCCAAGTGGGATTTTCCCACCATCTCCTCTACCCATCCATCATTTTCAACCCCACGAACGGGGAGATAATCTGGAGGGAAATGTAGAGAATTACAACACACTGGAAGGGCTTTGTTGTAGTAAGCCAGTGTACAAGGAATTGTGCAGGCACTGCCTTTGCCTGAATGGCTTCTGCTTATGTAACTTAAGCAGGCATTTGGAGTAGGTGAGCGATGTCTGTATCCTCTGCCTGTCTGTAGGCATCATACATCAATGCCAAAAATAGATGATGTATCAGTAGTATCCATGTGAGCATTGTGTTACGTGCATTGGACATGTTACCCTTATTTGTATGACAGAGCCACACTGGATGGTTAAGGTCAAGGACAGATTGTGCAACATTTTGAATGAAATACCAATGTATATTTTAGGAGTGGCTCCTTTAGAAATCTGCCCATGGTCATAGGCTAATGTGTGAAAGGGAATGGCAGATAGTCCGGGAAGTTGGAAGATAAAATGAAATTCAAGATGGCCATGTAAAAAATACTGCAAATGCCAAAAATACCGAATGTGTTTTCTCATGATTTTTTCTCATTTATTTCACTTTTTAAAATGTAACATACAAAGTCAGAATGGTTTTCGGTAGAATACAATGTGCAACTTGAGGGTTCAGTCAATACCACCATGTGTTTGTTCACTGCTGCTTAACTGGACCCGAGTGTAGACACACACCATATGCATTATTCCTGACTCCAAACAAACCTTTCTTTTAGTCCTTGCTCAAGCAAATATAAAACAATAACATCTTCTGCCAGAATGGGAAGGGGAAATTCACTGAAGTGGCCACAGACAAAAGATAGTGAAATAACTAAACAAATCCTCTCTTAATGAGGCAGGACTTACTAAAGTCCAGGGAGCTTGGTCTTGAAGTTTAAAAGACACAGCATCCACAATCTGGAAATATAAATATCTATACAAGCTTGGCAGTGAAAGCAAATGAAAACACTGATCAGTCAAAGCAAAATAATCAATTATTTGGGAGTCCTTCACATCACAGCCCCAGATTCAGCACCCTGGACAGCGGTCATGACTTTCAATGATTTAACTTAGTGGTGGCTACACGTTTGTGTAAATGATGAAACATATATTGAGAAGAAAGAGACAAATGGAATATCTAAGTGCATATGATGCCTTGAAATAGGTCAGGGGTCAATGTGTGATGTAGTTTGAGATGTGTCAAATTCAGAATAATCCTGACTGAGAGTCCAACTGTTATATTTATATGATTGTTTAATGATTTAAAGTTCATTGCACCATTGTCCAATCTCAGAACAAGTAGAACATCCTTGAAACATGAATGTCATCCTGACAGGCTGACCTGCCTTGGGTGCTTCGTGTCCAGAATTTAAAATGCCTCGTCAGCGTATTGTCTAAGATTGATTTGTTTTGATTCTTCTGTTTTTAAACATTAACAAAAGCAAAGGAAAGGTATCCCCTAACAGCAGCCGGATGGTGAACATTCAAGTACAGCTTGACTCACAGATGAAGGGAAGTAGTGCAGATTCGTTTGAAAAGGACATATTAACAGAGCAAGTCTGACGTGCCTGTAGATAAACCAGAAGAAAATATGTAAGACAAATATAAAGGCCGTCCTGACGTGCAAAAGGCATCCAGTTGAATGAAGGAAGCTTTCTGCATGCACATGGTTAACGTGCATGCATGCAAGTGTAGATGAACACTTTGATTCTGCACACATCAGACAGTTCTTCTTTTTAAGCGTAATGTGTGTGTTTGTCAGAGGATTTAATGGTTTTCAAGAGTTATATACATATATATATATATAAATATATTATACAAGTTGCAGTTGTATGAAATTGTAAAAACAGAAGCATTTTATTATAAATCATTTAAATTCAATTTAAGATAGTAAGCAAAAAGTAAAAAATGTAAAAGTGTTATTCAATTTCATGAAAATAAAGAGTACCGGTATACACAATTATAATTTCCTCTATACCTAATGCTGTTGAATTGAACTTTTTTTCCACAGTGTGCATCCTGTATTGATTTTCCAGAACTGTGGAAAAGGCTCCTAATCAACAGCAGGGCTTAATTGAGATTAGTCCTTAGAACAGGGAGAGGCTTTGTTCCTCGCAGGCAAAATAAGTTCAAGGGATTCTTGTAAATATCATGCAGAACTGATGTGAGCGTCAGGTACTGCCGAATGCCAGTTTTTCATGAATAATAGCGGCAGAAATGTGTTGATAAATCCTGAATGTCTTGTTGGAGTTGCATGGCTTCAGGTGTTGGCTGACATTCTCTCTGTGGAGCTGCCTGTCAAACGGATGCTGGGCCTCTGGAGCGCCCTCACTGTCTCTTTGGCTGATATTTTCCAATAGCTGCTTCTTTCCAGCGATATGAGTGTAATACTAACAATCTACAACCTCTCTAGCATATTGTAGCAATAACCCCCCNCCCCCCCCCGCCCTCCTCCCTTATGTTCCAGGGTCTCATTTGTTCCTGTTATGTTTACACTGATAGAAGCCTTGCTGTGTTTCCCATATCAAACTGTATTAGTTTCTGTAATCGCTAACACAATGTAGCGGGCTAATAAAAGCGTCAGTGGAGTATGCAGCACGTGGCAGCCGCTCGGGGAACGCCCGCCGCCGAGTAGCAGCTCTCATCACGTCGTGGAGGATTGTGGGTTCCTGCTCCCTTATATTGGCCAGGAGCCCATGTGAGTTGTGACCCCATGCCACTTGTCCTTTACGCTCACTGGCTGCATGCTGGCAAGCTGACCTTTATCATTAACCCTGCTGCGTGCTTGTCATTTGAAGTCTTTATTATTCACGCTTCCCTTTGGGTATATTGTATACCAGGGAGCATGGACAAGGGCTGCAGAGCTACTTAGCACATTTACACTCAGCAATTATAGCACTTAGCTGCTGCTGAGAGAAACCAACAAAGAATTTCCAAGCAGTGGACAGTAAGAAATATAAAAATGGCATGTTCTCGGAACAGTTACAACAACTCTCATCCATGCAGAAACACAAATGCGTACCTCATTTATCTGACACGATGCACACATTACTACTGAACACACCCACATGCATTTGCTTCAGCGCAATATTTGCAAAGAATACAGAAATGCAAACAAACTGAAGCATCATCTGCACATGTGTTCATATTATTGATTAGTCTCATCTCTTCACTTTAGTCACAGCTCCTCTCATACAACAGCATTTGTTCATTTGTTTGTCTTTGATGTTTAAAGCCCAGCCACATAAGAGGCGCCACACACTGTGGCTGAGGCTCGGTTGATATTCTTTGGACACTCTTCTTTATCTGCGGCCGTGTTAATCAGCAGTTATTCTAATTAAACTCAGTTTGCACTCGAAATGCTTTAAAACATGTTCAAACACTTCTGAACGACAACTGCTTGATAGCACACATTGCTGCTTCCTTCCTGTACGTGGATGATAAGGAGAGCGTGTGCAAAAATGAGTTGGCAGGGATGTATTTTAAAGTGCAGTTTGAATGTGTGTTATCAAACCACGTCAATCCGCGTCACACACGTTCCCAATGATATTATTCATGAACGTTTTCTACCCCGATCCCACATCCATTACATCTTTATCACAACTATTTTCATTATCATGCGACTCTGGCACTTGCCTTCACTCACCCTCATTCTGCTGCGTGCAAAGTCAGCAGACTCCAACAAAAAGTAATCCGCTGCCTTTACTGATGGGCTGAGATATAGCTCTCATCGTCTCATTGCTGCAGCGACGGCCGCTGAATGTGGCAAGCAGGCGGTTGACACCCCACTTCTGCTCTGTCAACTATTCAATTTGAGCACGACACTATCAACATGAATCCTTCCAAATGACCTGATAATGTTACACATCCAATTATAGTGTTTTGGTGTGGCTATCACCAAGGCATTTCCATTTGCAGCTTTGGAGGTAGGAATATAAACTTTGTGCTTGGAGCCAAATGATACAGCTTAGTTGTGCATACTGTTTCCATGTGTACTTGTTTGTAGTCCTGTCAAAGCCTTATCTGCCCTGCATACCATATTACATAAAAGTTGGCCAAAGGACAAATTACAGAACGCTTTCGCCCCGCAGAATTTCTCATCATTAGTAACAGAGCGGAGGAATGCTATTTAGATTACGAATGGAAAAATTGCAAAGGCGTTTTTTTCCCCCCTCTTTGAGCTCTGTCTCAATCAATTGAACAAACCGGCATGATATTTGATGGCCTGTGAGCTCCAATTATTAGAACAATATTATGGCTGGGCTAAGTCAGGGGCACCCCACTGGAATTCCAATAGTGTTTGGAAGCTATTTGTATTGGTGTTAGTCCTTCAGGGCTTGAGAAGGGCATACAGCTCAATAACTCAATTCTTAACAATTAGCCCCTGACATGTCCCCCAGAAAACAGATAGAGAGGAATCTAGTCTAGTAGATGATCATTTCCAAAGTATAGAGATTATTGTTTTAAAGCCCCAAACAGCATTGCAAAAGAAGTCGCAGCTCCGTTTTCAAATCATACTTGCCCATTGATAAGATCGTAGCTGATAAGAGTGTGATTCTTCATTGCTCAGGCTTTTATTTTGTCTGCATCAGCATGGATCTCATCACAAGCACCAAACTTGCTGCTCTTGTGATTAAAAAAAAAAAAAAAGCAGCGGTTCTCCAGGGTCACTAATTATCAACAGCACACTTGCAACATTTGAAATGGCACAGACCTTATCACTCCCAATTATACATGTATTATACTGTAATCAGAAGGGCTCATAGATGTGGGATCAGATTGCCTCTACCTCTGAGTGTGCCTGCTGCTCTCCCCCCGCCCCCCCCTCCTCGCTGCACACCTCCTCAGCCGCGGACCCAGCAGAGAGTGACCTTGGACCGGGGCCGACCTTGCTGCATCACCGCGGTTTGATGTTATTAGATTGTCCAGGAAGGAGAAAGGTTGAAAAAGCAAACGCAGTCCAACTCGCCTCCGTTTGGTCTTCGGTGTACTTTCAAGGGGACAGGGAGAACAAATAGAGCTGTCTGGGGGTGTTTCACTTTAGTGTGCGTGGGTGCAAATGTGTGTATGTGAGGTTTGCATGTGTACAATGCTTTTGTATGGGTTTACGCACTTAAAGCATGATTTGCTAACATATAAGAGGTTGGCATTGCCATGTCAGGTGAGAGCTGCCAGGCCTGAGGGGATGGTTCTCAGCCGGGCTCTCCTTTGGGTCCTGGTGGGCCGTGTGCTGTGGTCCGATCGTAAAGATGTCATAGCTGTGTGAAGGAAGCCCCAGAGGCCATCTAGAACAATTAGAAATATCTGTTTCTGGGTCACTGGAGCACAGTTACACGACTGGTAATGCTATTCAATGTTACCCTGAGAGTGAAAGCAGAGGAAGTTGTTTCACTTTGGCTTTTGTCTGATGGGTGATGTAATTTGGTGCTGAAAACACCATGCATGCTGCTTTGTTTAAACAGGTTTACACTCGCCACAATCATGTAGATTTCCAGGCTTTTACTTTAGACTGTATATTCTAATCTTATTCTCCACATCTCAGCAGTCCTTAAATCTGTGCTGCCAACACAGCAGGGACAAAACAATAATGCATGAACCCGGCTACTAGGAAGCTAAGCCTAATGTAAACATAGCCATCATTTCACATATGCACAGCACAGCATGTACCAATGTGAGTAATATTGCCACCAAAATAGACCTCAGTATTCTATAAATATTTAATGAAATCTAAAATACAGGGTCCATACTGCTCAAGAACACATGTGTAATTTAATTCATTGTTGCTGTAACACCGCTGTGAGTCTAATGCTTTCATTGGAAGCAAATTGCCACGGGCCATAGTCCTCACTCTGAGGCAGCATATCTAGTGCTTAATATAGCAGTAAACAAGTTAACAATGCTTGACAGGGATTAAAAGGGATATGGATTCCTGAGTGGCAGAAATGTAATGACACAGATCATATTAGTTAAACTGTTAACGTGTCAAACATTGTAAGCTTAATTCAGATTTTAAGATGCGTGTCCCTGTTGTTTCTGACTCACACAGGAACCGTGTAATTCTTCGACTTTCTTGGAGCTCGATTTATGAGGTTTTCCCCCCCGGACAACGCTAATATATGTTGGATGTTTCACCTTTTATATTTTTGTTCCTAAAATATTAAAAGGGCACACGGTGGATGAGTTACACTGTGCCAGCTGTTATATATGAGTGTGAACATGAAACGATATGAATTATCATAAGTGGTATAAGGGCTGCATCCAAACAGATTATCTCCTGACTCAATAATTTTGCAGGGTTGTATCACAGCAGTCTAACTTGATCATCCGCCCCCATCATTTTAGACATGAATTGTGTATCAATTATCCTCCCAGCCAGAGCCAGCAGGGTTCTAAGCACAGCCCGGTATGATTTGGTATCCCAGCTCTGGCATCTAAATGCATGGCCTCACTAAGGTAACATTTTTCATGCAGGATTATAAAATGCTGACTGCATGCTTTTATGTGCTGCATTTGCATTTTAATGTAAACCCCCATTTACATTTACTAACAATACCACAGTGGTCAAAATGGTAATACCAGCAATTGGGTAAGAATAAATAGTTTGGAGTTGGAAATAGGACTTAAAGTCCTTTAAGGACAGGGGAACTCACCCTTTTGCCGAGATCTAAAGCTAACACATTTTTCTGTGCAAACAAGTCAAGGTCCAGTGCCATTAGCTGGTGGCACGACTGCTCTAATATAATGCCCATTTCCCCCCATGTTGCAAAGGGCTAAATTAGCCTCCTCTGGAGCCAATTTAGCTGAATTAAGGGGCTTAGAAAGGTCATACTTACATCTCATTTGAAACTAATAGACATTGCAATATGAGTGCTTTTCTGTGTTTGCTGACATCACCAGCATATAAATTCAAACCTAATAAGAGCAAATATTGAGTGATTCATTCCTGATCCAACATCATACAGAAGCTTTACAGGTGGCGGGGGCAAAAGTTGCAGGTATTCAATATCTTTGTGGTATTTTCCTCAAATTAGCCCTCCTTTCCACTCTATGTGTGGCCACTGAGCCACCTCGTTAAGTTAAATAATGAATGAATTGCACGGGTAATTATGAAAAGTCTCACACTGCTCACAAGCGGGACTAATGCTTCTGCAGGTTTAATTAGAGCTGGAGCCTGCCACTCAAGGCTGTTTCCCTACGCCATCCTGAGGACAGAAAGGTGGACTCTCAGGCTGAAAGAGATAAGGCTCTTCTCAGTAGCTCGGTATGGAACAAACCTGCCACCATTGCTGCATGTTCAGCCAAAAGGTAGAGATGTTAGTGACAGTGAGCCACCACTCACTGACAGGAAGAGCAGTTAACCACCTGTCTCCCAACACGGGAGCGTAGTTAACCTACAAAAGGAAAGGCGTTGTCATCAGCATATGTCTTGATAGCGCCAAAGAGAGCATTTATAGACATAATAAAGCATTAACCATAGCACAGCCAGTTAGTGGAGACTGAAGTGAAAGAATAGATGTAGGGTGGCAGAATGGGGGATGATTTGATCATGACAATTGGCTTTATTCCTGCTGTGCACCTGCTAGCTGTTTGCTGCTGATGCTATCATGGAGCCAGAGGGGCTACTGAAGCACTGACTGAAACAAGATGTCCTGCTAATAAGATTCACAGTCCTTCCTTCCATTAGAACATGTCTGTTTC